CTTACAAGAAGTGCACCACCTTGAAGACATGGGCGGTTGTCTGCAAATGATTAAATCCGCCATGCAGAATGTCAATGCAGCTTTGCGCTTGTAGATAGCATGAACCTCCTCTGGCATGAACCTGGGCGTATGGCGTATGAAAGATTTCATGCAGTCTATGTGCAATGTTTTTGTGGAAGTATATGCATATATATATATATATGGGCGCGTTTCATGGTATTATATCTTATCCATTACTTCTCAGGGGGCCCCGAAAAGCACGCGCGCCCTATATATATATATGTTATATATGGAACCAAACATGTGCCAACTCATAGCATCAACCGTGAACCTGTGCCTATGGCTCACGGTTTCTTTCGCCGGCTAGCAGGACAAGCACGTTTGACCCTGGCTGGCAACTACAAAACTGGAGGCAGCTGCAAGCCCTTGAAGTGGCAACTCGCTGTCTATAAACACCAAGAAGGGCCTGCCTTGGAAGCCCCTGCTTGAAAATATCCTTACACCTCCCAAGTTTGCCGTTCACACATTACCCCCAGCTAACTTGGGAAACTCCTTCAACATCAAACATTTCTCATGTCATCAAGAAGCTCTTCTCGGGAAGATGTTCCAACAAACCCTAGAATCCTAGAACATCCTAGAACTGTTTTTGTTTCAGCTACCCTCAAAGGATTTTGCAGCAAAACATGGAGTCTGCTCCGTGGAACCTCATTGGCACGTCACACCGCTTCATGCTAGAACAACCAACCTAGCAGGTAAAACTGAAAACGGACTAGAAGAGTGCCCCACGTTTATATTGAACAATTGGATTATGGTGGAATCACAGTATGTCAATACTGCAATATGAGGTGATCTAATGCTATGTCCAAATGAGGTGCCACAACTTCGTGACTTAGTGAGTGTAGACAACATCAATGTCGGAAACGGGATGTGTCTCATTCAACCAGCGAGCAATCCGCACAAGACTCAAGAGCCGACAGGGGAGGGCAGATTTTGTGCTGTGCAACATCTGCAGGAACACGTCAAACACGCAGCAAATATGGATCTTCAAACCTCTCCTGTCAATTGAATTGAATTCCCCACCCCTAGCGCCCAAGATTGAAACATTTGAAACACCGTTTCGACCAGGCCGCAGTCAGAAAGGGAGGCCTGAACGTGTCCGGCAAAGGCGACAATTGTAGCTCGTGCTACGAGCTGTAAACATGTCAATGTGCAAACCATTTTCCCACAAGAAAGGGAGCGTGGGCATAGGGCAATCTACGGCAAGCTAAATGATCAGATATGATCAGATGGTTGTGAATTAGAATAGGCTCCCACCCTATCTGGATTCAGATTGTCTTGAATTGTCTTGCATTTTTGTCAGGGGTCTTTGAACTCTTTCCGTCTTTGCACCAATCTCGCCACTTGACATGGATGATCAACGATGAACATGACATGCGTCACCAAGCTGTTATCCGCCTGTCGTCATAAGAGGCGACGGGAGCCAATGCCACAACCGATATCACCAAGCGGCTCATCCGCTCCCTTTGTGCATTTTAAGCACACATAGCATCGAAGTCTACCTGACAGGCACGGACTGATCTCGGACTTGTTGGTGCTGCCTTACCCAAGTGAAGAACGATATGATCTTTTTGTGCGCTCCCCCTCACATAAAACCCAGGGGCAAGGAACCAAAGAGAAACCAACTCTGTCAAGCTATCAAGACTCTCGTCCCAGTCCTCCCAAGTGTTACCTGTGAGTGGATGTATTGAGACTTCGAGTCAGTTCGAAACAGTGCCCTATACCAGTCACCCCACACGTTTCTATCAAAGAAGTCCAATTTGGACTAATTAGGCAGCAACAATTTTGAACTCTTGGAGTCCAAACCACTTTTGTGAAAGAAGTTGGTCTCCCAAAGCAACTGTCACGAACTTCCATGTTCTTCCTTGGGAGAGTACATACTCTTTCATAATCACAGTTTAGACGTGAGTCAAACATGTCAAAAACGGCCACAGCTGCATTGGTCTTGAAATACTCAGGCCAACCTGGGTCTTCCCACTATGGAAGATGTTTGCCCTCAATCCATGGTGTGCTCTTTTGATCTCTTTTCCTCTGCCCCTGTCTTCCCCTGTCTTCATTCTCGGTATCGCTTCCTCAAACCCAACAATCTGCGACCACCCCGGATCCACCTTGGCTCTGGGAAACCACCGACCACCTTGCCACTCCCGGCAAGACCGCACTCCTGCCGAGCCCCGTCCACATGAATCCACGATCCAAGCCCCTCAACTCCTCCCACCTCGTCACTGCTTGGCCTTTCCAGGGTCGCCTGGGGAGACCCAGCAGCAGTTGAGGCCTCCTCCGAAACGGTGGAGTCCATTCGTTTGGCCTGGAGCGAGGAGTGCGACCGGTCAAAGAGATCGAGCTCAAAAATGCCTCGTTGACCAGTTCTCCAGGTCGGTTCCATCCGGGAGATCATCTGGGATGTCACCCAAACACTCCATGTATGGAATATTGACCATGGGTCAAGTCAAAGCTCTCGCGGGTCCCGGCCACTTCTGTCGAGCTCTCAGCTGGTGACCGATTCAATCGCCGTTCGACCCACCGTCCCGACATGTGGTGGAACGACCTGGGGGAAAGGTAGACAGGATCACACCTCCAAACACATATATATATATGTTTATGTTATTTCATCCAAACACGCATGTTCAACCCACTTGTTGCTCTAAGTGGAACATGATCTTCCGAATCCTCACGGAAGAGGCTTTGATTCGTTTCATTGCTATGTCACCTCACCCGCCTGCGTCTGAAGAGTGGGCTCCGCCTGCCAAGAGGGGAAGAGCGACCACAGCGACGGACGTGAAGAAGTCCTAAAATCCTTCTTGTTACTAGTAGCTTCTTGCTAGTAGCGATGCCAGGAGCCCGTAGTAGCGTCCTTGCTCCTATACTGGAAGAAAAACCACCTGCAGTTGCATAGAGGAAAAAGCATGCTCTTTCGGCCATGCCATCCATGTTGGCCCAAGAATATCAAATTCTGTGTGTGTAACTTCTGTCGAGGCAATTAAGTTGAACATGATTGAAAGGAACATGAACGATTTGCGCACACAATCCAGCCAAGAGTAGCCTCGTTCTGCTTTTCTCTCACCGTCTTCACTGCATCCTTCTGAATGCTTGAATACACCTATCCAACTTGCACAAAACTAGCGACTAAAGTGTATCTGTTTGTTTGTCAACTCAAAAAAGAACAACTTCAAGGTGTCTCCCAGGATGTCAGCGAAAGGCAGGCGGAGGCCTGTGGTTCTGCTGGTGCCTGAGCTTCTACTTCAGCCTTCTTGTCCTCACCGACAGCCTTGGAGTGATT